TCTCCAACATAAACTGAACTGTGTAATGATAGGCTGACTGAGCCTAACATCAAGCATTATTTGCCTTTCATTCTCCTATTCTGCCGTGATCAAATTTGCCTAGAAAATTCTTAATATTTCTTTTCAGAAATGAGGACAGCACTGATTGTAGCCGTAATTCTCTCAGCTATTACCATGACTGCTTCTTATAGAAAGAAACCATTGTGTGAAATGTGCGAAGGACTCATAGAGAAAGTCGATGAAGTGCTCGAGAAAGGAGGAGATATTGAGGAGGTCTTTATTTACATTATTTTTTTCTTTTCGCAACATTTTACATTTTGTCATTTTTTCTAGGCCGTGGACGAATTCTGTCGAGAAGATGTTCCAAGTTTTCTCGTGGAATACTGCGAAAAGATAATTTCTAAGAATCTCAAGGAAATCATCGAAAAACTCAAGGTAAGCTAGAACAATCTGTGTCGAAAGAGTCATAAAAGCAATAGTTCGTTAAAGCGAGGAAAATGGAATCACTATTGAGATAAAATTTTGCACAATAAGAGCAAGAACTAGCTATTAGTAGCTATTCTGCAACTGATAAAAATTTCTGAAGAGCCTACTCATTTTTTCGTTTTTGTTTGAAATTGACGCGTAGTAGAGATTCTTTCAAAGTTGTGCAGATATCCGAATACACTTTTCTTGGATGTGTTTTGAAAAATGATTAAAAAGAAAAAATCTTGTGCTAGTATAGACAAGATAGGTATTCAGTAGAAACAGATAAACCACAAATCTTCACATGCATAAACAACTGTTCGCATTTTCAAAGCAAAACAAATAGGACAATCATTCTTTTTCCTCCCACAAAAAAGTTATAAATCATTTCTCATGCTCGACTATTTGCTCACAACAATTATTTCATATATCCTTTGTTCCACCTCGTTCATTTTCAAACTTCTATTTCAGGACCACGAATCTCCAGAGAAAATATGCACAGATATTTATCTTTGCTCCGCTTGAATAAAGTTTTTGTCCAGTGATTGTAGCATGCTATTTGTGATTGCGAACTCAGAGTATAAGTGCGAATTGGTGGTGTTATAAAAAAAAGAATTTCATTTGTTTCGTCAAAAGTCCGGTCCCCTTATCTCAAATAT